GTTTACGCTATCGCTCAATCAGATTCTCGCAGACATTCACTTTTTCGCACGACACCGGTCCGGTTACGACCCGGTTGGGTCCGATCCCCAGAACCAGAACCGGGCTCTTACCAGTGGCGGATCTAGACTTTTATCCTTGGGGTAGCAAGGGGGTGGCCAAGTGTATTTTAGGGGGGCAATGGTTTATACTTAAAAATAACAAAGTTTATGCACTAGCGTTAATGTCGCAGCAGAAAACACCAACCGTCTTTAAGCAATCGAGTGCTGTATACCTGTTCATGTCACGTTTAAATTATTATTCACTATCATTTATTTCTACATGGACTTACAGATGTTGGTCCTGTCTTGTGTTCTTCTTTGACATGTCATGAGTAATGACTTATCATTCTTGTGTTATACTCTATATGTACGTACACACACACACACACACACACACAAACATTCTTGTAAGAACCACATACTGAGGACCGAGTAAAAGGACTCACAAACTGAGGACCGGTAGTTCTGAGCTACTTAGAAAGATTGAGTTTTGAATTTTCCCCACTAGATACACTACTTCAGAATTCGCAGAAGTAGTAAGTTACAAAAAAAGCAAAAGTTTTATACCACCAGAGTGAGAACCAACTTTTTTTTTTTTTGTTAACACATGTTAAGAGACTGAGAAGCAAATGTATTTAAGATTTGAAAAGAGTTGTTTTTTTAAGTTGTACTGATTAATACATTGAAGAATACACAAATACTGTGCTGCTAAAAATTCTAAAAATGAAAACTTGAGGTTGTGGGTCATTCATTACCCTGATATTTTAATAACTTTAACAAAAGAATCCATATTGCTGTGAACAATGTTTATTCTAGAAACAAAGAATGTATATAAACATTAGCAGATGCTAGACATTGTAAAATATCTATAACATTAAACGTTGTATAAAAGATAAAGCTTTTAAAGCGTTTTCTTTAAAAAAAAAAAAAATCTAATAAAAACTAAAATGTGCCATAAACTAAAATCTTCAAAAGAAAAAGTTATAATGGCCGCTTTATGCAAGTGCTTTTGTCTTTAAACCTGTGAAATACCCGATTCATAGAATATTATCAAATCTGAAGGTTTAGTAAGCAGAACTAAAATGTGCCATAAACTAAAATCTTCAAAAAAAAAGTTATAATGGCCACTTTATGGAAGTGCTTTTGTCTTTAAATATTCATAGAATATTATAAAATCTAAACAGAATTTTATCAAACAGTAACATTGCTTAAGTGACAATGCCTCAATGTTTAAGTGTCTTTTTTATCTTTAAGATCTCATTGTGCACAAAGTATTTCACATCCTTCCATGTCCTCCGCTGAAGAGCAGGAGATGATTTCTCAATGCACATGATGCATTCATTCTTTCCTGGCACTTTCCGCATCGCCACAAAGCTGGTCATAAATTGCTGAACAGCCATTTTCTCCTGCTGAGTCCATGGGATCTTTCCTTTGGTTTCCACAGGACCTAAAAAAAATAAACAGCTTTAAAACTTTTCAATATGCCAGACTAAATACAATTT